GTTAATGAACAGCCCCAGTAGATTTGAAGATAGCCCATCCCAAAGAAGTGTTAATGAAGTCCTTGCTGCCCAGATTACTTCTTTGGCCCACCTGTGTCCCACCCCTCGGGCCTTCCCACCTACGTTCCATCACTGAAAGAACTATAAAAAGGGGAAACAACTGCACTTCCATGGATTCCACCTCTTGGGTCCCCTTCTTTCTCCGGGAGAAGTCTTTTCTGCTGTCCTTTGATAAACTTCTAATTTCTACTCTGACCTTGCCTCGGTGTGCTTCTCTGGTGTTATTCTTCAACATTGGGGAAGCAAGGACTCGTCACTGGTCAACAGCTGTAACATTAGTACTGAGAAAACTAGTTCATATAAGAACAAAGTTTGCCAATACAGTGTAAAACATGCCTGAACTCTCAGCTGAGGGAGGAAAATCAAAAGTTCTAGGCCAGTCTGGGCAACTCATCCAGACCCTGTCTCAAAATAAAAATGGTTGCAGATTGACAGTTGGATGATTCAGAATAACTTTCCTATGTTCGTATGAGACTACACGACCAGTGTAATTCCACATCATGTACAACCACAAAAATTGGAAGTTATACTCTATGTATGAATGATATATCAAAATAAATTCTACTGTCATGTGTAACTAAAAAGAACAAATAAAAAATTTTAAAACTGGTGAGGTTAATTCAGTGGTAGAACAACCCTGGGTGTCAACATTCATTAGCTGGGCATAATGGTGCACACCTGTAATCCCAGTGACTCTGGTGGCTAAGGCAAGAGGATTGCAAGTTTGAGGCCAGCCTCAGCAACTTAGCCAGGCCCTAAGCAACTTGGCAACTTAAGAGACTTAAAAAAAGGGGCTGGGGGCTGGGAATGTGGCTCAGTGGTTAATTGCCCCTGGGTTCAACCCATTGTACCAAGATTCATTAAATGATTATGAATTATACTTGTATAGCACAGACATTCCTCTGTGTTCACCAAACTCTATTTCATTTTCTTTTCATGTTTTTTTTTTTTTTTTTGCAATGCTGGGGATGGAACCCAGGACCTTGCATTTCCCTTTTTAAATTTTTGCAGTACAGGAATTGATTGAACCCAGGGCTGCTCTCTAAATAAAATTTATTTATTTTTTTCATTTTGAGACAGGGTCTTGCTAATTTGCTGAGGCCTGCCTTGAACTTGTGATCTTCTTGCCTCAGTTCCTGAGTAGCTGGGGTTACAGGTGTGTGCCACTGTGCCCGGCTACATTTCCCTTTTGCTGGCACACTGGAAGATGTGTTGTGTAGGTGACTGAGTGCTGACCAATGAACGGTGAGCAGGAACAAAGTGCTTCTGAGATGAGATAGTTAGTGACTAGTGAGCTTTCCCCAAATGTGTTTCCTCCCCAGCAACATTAGAGACCTCGTCTTCCAGAAGGGTAACTCTAAAGTAAAGGGGTAGCAGAACTAGATTGCACCTGGCATGAGTAAGACACATGCATTAGCTGTTATGTTTCCAGAGGGGAGAAATTAGTAACATGCCAGCTTGCCTCCCCAGGACCTTCCACAGGTGTGAGCCTATAGTTCTAGCTATTTGGAAGGCTGAGGCAGGAGGGTCCTGTGAACCCATGAATTCAAGACTAGCGAGAGCAATGCAAAAAGACTCTTTCAAAGGGGGGGGGGAAAGGGGGCTGGGGATGTGGCTCAAGCGGTAGCGCGCTCGCCTGGCATGCGTGCGGCCCGGGTTCAATCCTCAGCACCACATACCACACAAAGATGTTGTGTCCACCGAGAACTAAAAAAATAAATATTAAAAATTCTCTCTCTCTCTCTCCCCTCTCTCACTCTCTCTTAAAAAAAAAGGGGGGGGGGAAGGTCTTCTTCTGTATACCCTTCTGAACACCAGACCAATATCAGGGTCAGGTCTTAGCATGGTCTCCTTGGGGCAGGGCCAGCTCTGCAAGGGTGGAAAGGGAATTCTGTTCCTCTTAGGGTGGGCCACAAGAGGTTCTTGGGTGGGATCTGGAGCATGGAAGTGAAGCCTCAGTCGTTCTGCACCCGTGTTCATTGTCATTGATCAGCTGTGGCTGGAAGGTAACTCCTTCAGCTTCCCTGAGAGCCTCCTTCAGCTTCTGACTCCTGGGCCTCACATGCCTGCTTAGCTCTGTGCCAGGGGGCTCCAGCTTCTACAAGGCTCCACCTCACCAAGGTCAGAGGCAATATGAATGATCTCAATCTGTCCTGCTGGGCTCCAGTTCCCTTCATATCTGTCTCTTCCCTATCTGACCACCTGACTGCAAGAGCCAGCACTGGTTGTGAGACAGCAGCCTCAGAGAGGCCAATTGGTGACATTCCACAGCGAGGTAAGTTCAAGTACTTGTAAATGAAAACTCCAAACTCTGCCCAGCGCAGTGGTGCACACCTGTAATCCCAGCAACTGGAGAGGCTGAGGCAGGAGGATCTCAAGTTCAAGGATAGCCTGGGCAACTTAGTGAGACCCTGTCTCAAAGTAAAAAATAAAAAGGGATGGGATGTAGCTCAAAACAAAAACCTACTACTGTGGCCCAGCCTAGTCTATCAGAATATGGCCTTCCTTTGTTCTTTCATTTGGAGGTATATTATTTAACCTGCTAAGCACAGAAAAGGCTAGGAAAATACAAACATTAGTTTTAATACATGTTTGCCAATAAATTGATGATATGGTTTTATTCATGTGCTTTAAATATATTTTCCTAAAAAATTGTGAAACTAAAGATTTAACTCACATAGTGTCCATTATCGGTGAGGTGGTTTCTCACTACCAAACCAGTCAGCTAAATTAGACCCCCACCAGAAAAAGCCAAATAAATCTGTATTTTATGACAACTATCCTTTCTCTGGGTTCTAAAGACAGAGGGATAAAGGCATGGCCCCTTGTCCTATGAAGTAAGGTGCTGCTACCTTCAATACTTCTCACCAATATTCTCCTTCCCATGGTTTCACAAGATTCCCCAAGAGAATTCCATTTTTTGATCTTAGCTGGAAAAGCATTATGTAAAAATCTCACTCCCTCACTCTCTCTTTCCATAACATATCTGAATTCAGAAAATTCATCAGAGATCAAAATATACTATTTTTTGGGGGGTGGGCACTGGGGATTGAACTCGGGGGCACTTGACCACTAAGCCATGTCCCCAGCCCTATTTTGTATTTTATTTAGAGACAAGGGTCTCACTCAGTTGCTTAGCACCTTGCTTTTGCTGAGGCTGGCTTTGAACTCATGATCCTCCTGCCGCAGCCTCCTGAACCGCTGAGATTACAGGCATGTCTCACTACACCCAGCATATATACATTTTTAAAATGTCCTTCTCAATGTCTTTAACAGTATTCATAAAGAAGGAATAAACACAACCCTGCCGAAGTTCATGATGCTTTGATTAGAAGAGATAGCATCAAGTCCCATATTTTGAAGAACTAGTTATTTTTTTGGTGCTCTATTAGTTGTCTATTGCTGGATAATGCTTGTCCCAATACAGCTTAAAATAACAAATGTTATCTCGTTATCTGGCATATCTCTATGGGTCAGGAGTGCAAGAATGGCTGGAAGTTCTGGCTCAGGGCCTCTCAGAAGTCAAGAGTGTTGCTATAATTGGAATCTGGAATGTCTCCAAATGCCTATGTTTTGAAGGAACCTAGCTACTGAGAGGTGGGAGAATCTTTGTGGTGGGGCTTCATGGGAGATCTTAGATCAATGGGTGCATGTCCTTGAAAGGAACTGTGGAACCCTGGTCCTCTCTTCAGCTGCCATGAGGTGAGCAGCTTGCTTTACCAAGTGCCAACCACCATGATGTACTGCCTTACCACAGGCCCCAAAGCAACGGGACCAACCAACCATGGACTCAAACCTCCAAAACTGTGAGCCGAGATAACCTTTTTCTTATTGTAAGTTTATACCTCAGGCATTTGTCTGTAGTAATGGAAATCTTATTGACACAGTGTTGAGGGGGCTGCAGTCATCTGAAGGCTCGACTGGGGCAGGGGAGCTGGCTCATTAGCAGGTCTGGCAAGTTAGTGCTGGCTGTTGGCAGATGGTTCCAGTTCCTTTCCACATGGACCTCTCTCAAGCTTACTTGACCTTGATGGAAGAGGGTGGTGTGGCCCACTACATGTTGAAGTTTGCTGAGGTGCTGCAGGCAGGAAACAGCCTATTGAGATGTCAGGGAACTTGCTGGAAAGCTCATTTTGAATGTCCCAGTCGTGTGTGTGTGTGTGTGAGAGAGAGAGAGAGAGAGAGAGAAAGTGCTCACACATGTGAGAGGCACAGTTCTGTAAGTGGTCTGTGTCCATGAGCCAAAAAAGCAAGAAGGAAAAGAAAGTACCATAACCAGGACCAGAAGGCCCCTCCATTCTGTTGTGTTCCTCCACTGCTCTCTACTGACAGTGAACCACAGTGCCGGCTGGCAGAGGAGAAATACTCATGGGGTCCTGCTCCCAATCTCAAAGTGTGGCAGGAAAGGTGCACTTGGAGCCGAGATTTTATAGCTAATAGGAGCACACATTAGCTGCTGCCAAACAATTCATGTATTTGATTCTGGAGTGTTATCTTTGTCCCTGGGAGTGTCACCTTAGAAACAGTGTATACACATCATTCTGGCTTTGTACAATCCAGGTTGTACAAATAATTTTGAATCCTGAGCATCTGGATCTCAGGGTTTTGGTTCAGGGACATGGACTTGTACCTTGATCCGTTAGCAGGTTTTGCGGACCCTGGAGCAAATATCAGGGGAAATGTGCTTCTGGGTCTTCTGCCTTTTCTCCAGTACCAAACCCATCGCCAGCTGGTATCATGCCTGAGGCACTAAGAGTATCTGAGTTTTTGTTCAGAAGAGGTGAGGGTGAGGAGATGGCTGGGCTTGGCTTGTGTAGACTGCTGTCATTAACATAACTTTTTAATCCCACTGAGCTTTGGGAATTGGATCCAATAATATTAGTATTATTTTTCTTTTTAATGTGTGTAGGGGGTATGATTTTAATAAAAGAACAGAAACCTTGAGTCAATCTCTATTACAGTTCTAATGACAGGATGGCAAACACAAATATCTATATTGATTTGGTACAAAATTAAAGTAAGAGAAGCATACGGATAGCTAGGATTTAAATGTCCCCACCAAAATTCAAGTTGAAATTTAATCCCCATTGCATGGTGTTAAGAGGTGGACTGTTAAGAGTGACATGGTCATGAGGGCTGTGCCCTCATGGATGGATTGAGATATGGGGTACAAGGGAGTGGCTTTCCATGTGACACCCTGTCATGTCATGACCTAGGGAAAGGCCTTCATCAGATGCCAAGCAGATGCCAGTGCCATCCTGTTGGACTTCAGAACCATGAACTAAACACACCTCTTAGTCTCAGGTATTGTTACAGCAGCAGAAAAAAGACTAGGATACAGATACAGAATAATAACAGAGTGGTGACAACATAGGAAACCACGGAGGACAGACTTGATGTAAAGAAGACAGTGGCAGGACTGGGGTGTGGCTCAGTGGTGGAGCGCTTGCCAGCATATGCAAGGCCCTGGGTGCAATCCCTTGCACTGAAAGAAAAAACCAATAGTCAGATATTCTAACTTTGAAAGATAAGTTGGAAATGCAGATTTTAAAATGTGAAACTGTCAAATTTTAAAATAAGATGGTTTAAGATAAACATACACATGGAGAGGGTGCTCGTATTCAGCACAGCACAGGACTCCTGCCGGTCCCTGCTGTGCTATGTCCTGTGGCAGGTGCTGGGACCTTTGCAGTTTGGGTTGGCTGTTCCATTGGTGGAGCCCAATGAACCAAGCCTCTCTGCACTCACGTCCCTGTGGAGAACCTTTCCACACTGACTGTGGACTTGGTTTCATGACTTGCTTTGGCCAATGGGGCATTAGAAAGTGTGGTACAACCAGAGGCTTTTCAAGCATTTGTTCATTGGGGCTTGTCCTCTTCCTAACCACCATGCAGAAGCTTGAGTGATAAGAAACCTTGTGGAAAAGAGAGGCACAAGAGGATGAGAAGTCATTTTGAAGGAGATTCCAGCTGACTGTAGCCCATGTGTAATCTCAGCTTATGCCATGTGGGCCCACACAATTGTAAAAAATAGACCAATGCACCTAAGCTACTAAGTCTTGGGGCGGTTTGTTATATTGCAATAAGTAACTGAAATGAAGACCATTTATCTCAACCTCCTTGTTTTACTACTTAATGTCCCAAGGTCCAGAGAGGGAAAATTACTTCATGAAATTCATACAGCAAGTTAATGGCAATAACCTTCCAATTCTGGGCTCTTTCTTCCCATTGCTTTTCTTTCAATTCTCTTGGTGAAAAGCACCAAAGATTATGAAATGTCAAATTCTACCTGCAGGGAACTTACACTGCATCCTGAGTGTATACAAATTACTGTAATAGCTCTGTCCTTAAAAAGGCAAAGATTTCTAGGTCATCTAGAAACGCTTGATAAACAGGAAAGCAAATGTCTCTGACATTGGGAGCTGGCCTGGTAAATGGGTTGGGTTGTAATGGTACTAGACAATAGCCTAGCCCTTACAGAGAGGCCTTGTGTTCTCCTATAGAACATAAACAATTTCACGGAACATCAACCTCAGATAAGGCCATTCTGTAATCATGGAAGATCAAGACAAAAGCAAGACTACTTCAAAATCACGTGTGAACACAGACAAAACCTTAACATTTTCCAAACCACAAAAGATGACTAAATACCCCCAACAGGCTAATTCCAGGGGCTGAACTTCTTTACCAATTACAGCTTTAGCGTCAGTTTAGTATCCTCTTCTGGCAGGTAAGATGTATACAGTTGTCCAATTATCGAATTATCCCCCCTCCCTGCCGGCATCTACTCCAGAGCCAAGCCCTCGCTGGGGCGCCCCGAGGTGCCTCGTGGCATGTCGGGACTCACGGCGATTAGTACCCAACCCAGCTCACTCGCCGCCGGCTTGCTCTCAGGGCAGGGGAGGACACGGGCATCCCCGGGGCGGCGGGAGGCAGAGGTCACTAGAAGCCGTCTCCAGCAGTGTGCCCGCTGGCCGCCGATTGCTGTGGTTAACGTCTGCGTCCCCCGAAGGCAGGGGCCTGTCTGTCGGGTAGAGCCGATCCCCAGGGCTTAGCGCAGTGCCTAGCATAGCATGGGGACTTAAAAAGTGCTTTCAGAGCGAAGAAGTAAGAGGACTCCGTCTGCAGATAACCTGTCCTCTCAGCGCCCGCCAGTTCGCGGGGCACCGCACAGCGAAGCGCCGGCCGCCTCTCCCCTCTCCCCATTCGCGCCACGCCCGTCCTTTGCGAGCCCCGGCGGAGCTCCTCGTGCTCGGGCCCGCCTGCCACGCCTGAGCCCTTGGCCTCCACCTTTGCGGGCACCTAGCATCCACCGTTCCACCACCCACCCCTCCACCAGAAGAGCGCCCGCCGTGCGGCCACCGGACGCAGAGGGACGCCGGGGGACGCAGGGGGTCGCAGGCGGCCTTCGCGCATGTGCGGAAGCCGGGCGCACACAGGGTCTCTGACGAGCGAGGAGCGGTCTCCGGGTTTCCGTCCCGGTGCAGGCAGCCCCAGCCGGCAGGAAGTCGGCAGAGCCCGGCCGGAAGCAGAGCCGCGCGCGGCGCCTCCTGGGACATGTAGTCGCGGCGCGCCGCGGCCTG